TTCCGTTCAGCCATCAGTACAGCAGAGAAAATCCTACCTCAAAGGGATTAGTAAGGTTACCTAACAGATATTATTAATGGTTTAAGTGCATAAAAGGTGCTTTAGCTAAAAGTGAAGGGCTAGATCCTTTGCTAATGTAAGTTGTTCATGGTCCCACTGAGGACATGGTGGAAACACAGAGCACTGAGGGAGCTCCCTTGTGCCATCGCCTCCTGCTCAGTTTCTAGCTCAGGGCTGCACTGACTGGCCTCTCCAAGAGTGACTTCTGCATCCTTAGCCCTGAGAAAAATGTGCATAAGCAAATATCTAGGTTATAAAGGAAGAAAGAGTTGTATCTAGGAAGACCTTGTTTGAGCAGGGAGGTAGGATCAGATGACCCCATGGGTGATCCCTTCCAGCCTGGCCTGTTCCGTGATTCTGCAGCAGGATGTCTCGGGAACATGCCGACTTACACTGCCTGAGCATCTCAGTTTATACTGTTTTCATTATACTAGTAGCTTTTTATAGGCATCAGATTCCAGTCATGAGACTTGATGATTCTACAGAAAATACCCTCCGACGCTGTACTTTCTCACAGCAGGGCTCCCTGGCTAACCGTGTGCTTGTCCGTCAAGCACAAATCCCAGCCATTTCCTTCCCAGTTTTCCCCTGCATTTAATGTATGGAAAAGCATGACCCTGAATCAGATGAATAGCAGCCGGTTTGAGAAGGTGTGTGTGAAAATGTATCCTCACGCAGATGAGCTCAGAACAAATAGAATAGAGGGGAGGAGGGGAAGAGAGCAGAGTCACGGAATGTGAAGCTACCCTTTCCCTGATAGTTCAGCCACTATGTGTAAGCAACAAGTTTATGCCCAAGGGAAAGAACTGAAAGCTGAGGAAATCTTAAAATTAACAGAGCTTTATGGCTCAATCAATAGGCCATGCTCCCTGAGCAAGATTAGAAATCAGATGGCACATTTCTTTCTGTTAACCCTGTTTGCTCTCCCTGAAGGCTCTTCTGCCTGAAAGCATCTGAGGTTTGATTAAGCTCTTCTCTAGGAGGAAGCCAGAGAAAAGTCCATTGTGTGAGAACTGCCTCCAGAATGCTGTGTTGGACACATTTTAAATAACAATGGAGGTTATTAGAATATTAGTTTGTTAGTAACTGTGAGAGAAGATATGTCTTCCCAATATTTGAATATGCAAAATGGATTTGGATAACTGTGAAAGGGGAGGGGGGGGAAGCAAAACTCAAAACATGTCACTACAGTGAGTAACAGGGATGATTAAAAATCCCCACATGTAAAAAATAAAACCTCTACCTTGTTTTACTGCTAGAAATACCTTGCCAGATTTGTTATCTCCATCAAACCCATTATATTTTCCCTCTTTGGCATTTCATTTTCACTGGGGCAATGAAATAGTTTTTTCCAAAGGGAGATGGACTGTGTTTGCACCTATTTCTTGTTTGACAGTGACCTCTATGAACCAGTCATCACTGCTCTGCCTGTTGTTTTCTTGTTAGCTCTTTGCTGTCAAATTAATTACTGTGAAGTACTAAGCTTGTTGCATTCACGTGCTCTTATTAGCTCACAGGATGTCAGAGTGATTGGATTTTTAGCATTATTTCTTTTTTTACATTCCAGGCTTTCCATTCAAAACCTGTTACTGGCAGGGAGGAAATACTGTACCTAATTCTGATCTCTCATCAGGGTAGCTCCAGTGATGCTGAGGATTTACAAAGCTGTATATGTAATTAGACTTTGTTTATATTAAACCCAACACGAACAATTAGACTGGGATTGCAATGTGACTTTGAAGCACACAATGAATGTCTTTCCTTTTGCAGTACAGAACAAGAAAGAAAATATTTATGATGAGAATAGCATTTGTCCCCTCCATTCTTAAATCACTGTAATGAGCTGATCCTCCACTTGACCCTCTTCACACTCCCGAGTTGTTTATATTAGTGACAGCTAACAGCTCTCACTTGAGTGCAGTTCAGAGATCTATGAGAAGTTTTATTATTTTCTTCTTCTACAAAATGAAACGAGCAGAAGGGACTTCTTTGCTGTCATGCTTGAAATTTGTGTGTCCTGCATCTGCCCTTGAAAAGCTCCATCTGGCTCGGTGAAGAAGATGAAGGTCTTGAGAGTTTGTCTTCATTCCTGAAGGTAGATTTTTCTTTGCTGTTAAAAAAGAAAGAAAGAAAAAAAGAAAGACAGTAGATGCGATTAGAAGGGCCAGCAGCCCCGCTGCCCGGGTGGGAGGCTCAGCCTAAGGTGCTCCTTCGCCCAGCGCAGAGCTCCGACTCCAGCGCGCACCGCCCGCTGCCCAGCCCGAGCCACGGCCCCCACCCCGGCCCGGCCCGCGGAAACCTCCCAGCGCCCCCACGGCCTGCGCTGGAGGGCTGCCCCGGGATGCTGCTGTCCCGGTGCCGCTGTCCCGGTGCCGCTGTCCCGGTCCCGCTGTGCCCGTCCCGCTGTGCCCGTCCCGCTGTCCCGGTGCCGCTGTGCCCGTCCCGCTGTTCCCGTCCCGCTGTCCCGGTGCCGCTGTGCCCATCCCGCTGTCCCGTCCCGCTGTCCCGGTGCCGCCGTGCCCGTCCCGCTGTCCCGTCCCGCTGTGCCCGGTGCCGCTGTCCCGGTGCCGCTGTTCCCGTCCCGCTGTCCCGGTGCCGCTGTGCCCGTCCCGCTGTCCCGGTTCCGCTGTCCCGGTGCCGCTGTGCCCGTCCCGCTGTGCCCGTCCCGCTGTCCCGGTGCCGCTGTCCCGGTGCCGCTGTGCCCGACCCACTGTGCCCGTCCCGCTGTCCCGGTGCCGCTGTCCCGGTGCCGCTGTCCCGGTGCCGCTGTGCCCGTCCCGCTGTGCCCGTCCCGCTGTCCCGGTGCCGCTGTCCCGGTGCCGCTGTCCCGGTGACCCCGCCCGGCCCCGCCGCCGCTGCCCCGCGCGGCCCATAGGGGGCGCCCTCGGCCCAGGCTTCCCCTGCGGCGGCGGCGGCGCGCGCGGCCCCGCGCAGGTGAGCGCGACCCCGCGGGGGCCCGGCCCGGCCCGGCCCGGAGCGGAGCGGGGACACCTCGGTGCCGCCGCCTCGGTGCTGCCGCCTCGGTGCCACCGCGGCCGCCGATGTCCGCCGGGCTTCTCCCCCCGCCCCCTCGGCCCCTGTCCCTGGCCGCTGGTCCCCGGGCAGGGCTTCTGGCGGGAGCCGGGTGGGAATCCCTGCTGACCCCTGCGAGGGGTGTCGCACCATCCCCTTTGCCTCGCTGCCCGCTGCCCCTCCATCCCCCGCCAGAGCGCTGCCCCGCGAAGGCGCGCAAGAAAAGCCGGTCCCCGGGCGCGGGCAGGGCCGGCTCTGCTGCCGGCTCCCCGCCTCGGCTGCGGGAGTGCAGCGGTCCCGTTATTTCCCCTCCCGGCTCCCCTCGGCCGCCGCCCCGGTCCCCCTCCCCCTGCTGCCTCCGACAGGCTCCGCGTCCCTGCTGCCCCACGGAAAACACACACAGTCCGCGGCACCCGCCCCGGCTACCCGGCCCATTCAAACAAACAAACAGAAACCCGCCCCGTCGCAAAGCCAACCGACGGTAAACTTTCTAATGACTTCTTCTTTCAAGTGCTTAAAAGGCAAGGAGCACCGGGGAGGGGAAGAAGGGGGCATTCATCTCCCGGCCGGGGCGGGAGGGGGGCCAGAGCCGCAGCCGCTCGGGGTCCGTCCGTCCGTCCGTCCGTCCTGCCGGACGACGGGACAGGGACGGGAGCCGGTGTGTGGTGGGTGTGTTTGCAGGAACCGGGAAGGAGGGAGGGGACGGGGGGAGTTAAAGAAACAGCATAGTTAATATTTCCACATCAGGAAGTTACTGTAATAGCCCAGGGGGCAAAAGACTTAACTTAATCTCCTAAATAGTGAGGAACCCATGGCGTCTCTGTTATAGGTTGGAGTTCCCACGTGGTTTTAACTCCTGTATAAAAGTTTCAGTAGAAAGTGCCACAATGTCGTGATTTTGCAGGGGGGAAAAATTAGCAGGAGGAGATCAGAGAAGATAAGCGAGGAGCAAGCAGCTTCCCCGAGACCTTTCACTGCGGATCCGAGAGGGAACATCAGACGCGTAAAAAAAGAAAAACAAAAAACAAAAACAAAAACCAAAAAGCCAAACAAAACAAAAAACCCAAACAAAACAAAACACAGCGTTCAAGCCAGCACAAGGCGAGCGAAAGATCAAAAAGACTCAGAGGGAGACAGATTAACTGGAGCGGCAGCAGCAGCAACAACAACAAAAATCACACTTAAAATAATAATAACAATAATAATAATAAAACCCAAACCACCAACAAGGGAGATATTGTTTAAAAGAGCAAGCGAGGGAGCGAGCCGAAGAGCTGGTCTGACCGAGTGGATCCGTGCAGCTTCTCCTGGGATCGCCGGGATCGCGCCGCTTCTCCGCTCCGCGTCGCGCAGCGTGCGGTGCCCTGCCCGCGGCGGGGGTCCCCGGGCGCCGCCACCGCATCCGCGCCGGACTCCGGACCCTCCGCGCTGCTTTGAAAATAAAAGCATCTCGCTAATAATAAGCGGGACGGTGGGGGAAGAAGACTCGCAACAGTGGAGCTGCCAGCCGCGCACCCCCTGCCCGCCGCCCCCGGCTCCCTCCCCAGCTATGCTCCGGGTCAACTTTGATGGCACGTTGAGAAGCAGCGGGCGCTGAAGGGGGACAACCGAGCGGCGCGGAGCCGACCTGCTCAGAGACCTGCACCCACGGATTGTCTTGCGGGGGCGGAGTGGGCGGGGGGGTACAAGTGGCATTTCTCCCCCCCCCCTCCTTCCAGGCTATAAATTGGATTGTATATAAATCTGCTTCGTTTATCTCCCTGACCCCCCTCAATGACGCTGGACTAGAGAGCTCCTCTCCGCGGCCCGCCCGGACCTGCCGAAGCGAGCGATGGACCACGAGCGACTGCGCCCGGGGATGCCCCTCTGAAGCGACGCGGGGCACCGGGGCAGAGCGGCGCCGCCTCTCCCCTGCTCCCCGGATCCCCTCGCACCTCCGGCTCGCTCCCCGCTCCCCCTCCCTCCTCCCCGGGCTCCGCAGCCACCCCCTCACCTGCTGCCGTCCCCCTCCCCCGTGGAGCCGGGCTCTCTCCGTGCACGCCAAGCCTGTTCCCCCCCCCGCCGCCAACTTCGCCCTCGGTGCCTGCGCGTGCAGCCTCCCCCTCCGCCTCCCCGGCGGCACACGCCGCTTCCCGGGCGCCCCCTCCCTCCGCCGCGGCTCCCCCCCTGCGCGGAGCGGTTGCGGCCCCCCAGCTTGGCTGCCACCGCCCCCTCCGCGCCGCGGAGCGCTCGGAGCGGCGCTGCCTGCAGACGGGCTCCCTGCGGCGCTCCGGGGCGGCCCCCAGCTCGGCCCCCCGCTCCTCCGCCATGGACGGGGCGGCTCGCCGGGGGGTGCTGGCCGCGCTGCTGGCCTGCGGGCTGCTCCTGCTGGGCGCCGCGGCCACCCCGACCCCGCCGGCCCCCGCCGGCGGCTCCCCGCAGGACACATGCACCTCCTGCGGCTTCCGGCGGCCCGAGGAGCCGGGCAAGGTGGACGGGGATTTCCTGGAGGCGGTGAAGCGGCACATCCTGAGCCGGCTGCAGATGCGGGACCGGCCCAACATCACGCACGCCGTGCCCAAGGCGGCCATGGTCACGGCGCTGCGCAAGCTGCACGCCGGCAAGGTGCGGGAGGACGGCCGCGTGGAGATCCCCAGCCTGGACGGGCAGGCGAGCGCCGGGCCCCCGGCCCACGACCCGGTCTCCGAGATCATCAGCTTCGCCGAGACAGGTGGGCACCGCCCGGCCGCGCTCCCCCGCCGCCCGCGCCCCTCTGCCCGACCCGCCGCGGCCCCTGCCCTGCCGCGCTCCCCGCCTGTCCTGCCTCGCCCCGTCTGTCATTCCCCCTGCTCGACCCCTGTCAGTCCCCCTGCTTGACCTCTGTCAGTCTTCCCTCTCGCCCTGCCTGTCCTCCTGCCCACCTTCTCTTTCCGCCTGCCTGACCCGTAGCACTTCCCCGGCTGCCCTTGCCTGGCCCCCTGCGCGCCCTGCCTGTCCTCCCGCCTGTCCTTCTGCCTGGTACAGGCGCCTGGCCGCCCGGCTCACCCGCTCGTCCTCCGCCTCATTCGCTCTCCCCTCTGCCCCGCACGGTCTCGCTCTGGCCCTGCCCTCGCTTTTCCATTCTCCCTGCTTTGCCCCCGTGCCCGGGATTCTCCCCAGGTTGTGCCCTGCAACTCCCTTCTCTCGTCCCTCCATCCCTCCGCAGCCTCTGTGCCCCCTGCTCCCCTCTGGCGGTCCTTCGAGCAGCACCGGGGCTTGTCTCCGTCCCTGCGTGTCCCGCTGTCCCTCCTCTGCCTGTCCCGCTCCATCTCTTGCATCCCTTGCCTTGTCTGACTGCCCTGCACATTCATCTGGTTCACTGCCTGCATCTGTCTGTTGAGGCTTGCATTTGCCCATCCTCTCTTTCCGTTTGTTTCCCATTTATTTAGCTTTCATTTGCAGTATTGGCCTTGTCTATTTGTCCATTGCATGCAGTGTCCAACCGAGTGTGTCTGTCTCCTCTCTGTCTGTCAGTCCATTTACTAACTGCCCTCCATCCCCACGACCAGCCATCTCAGTCCTGTCCAGCCATTGCAGTTATGTGTCACCGAATCCCTTCAGCACAGCTTTCCAGTAGTTTAACCACTGTCCCCGTGAACTTTGCACATCTGGCTGGAACAGCATCACTCTGCGAATTACCTGTCTATCTGCCCATCTCTCCTTTCCTTCATCACTCTATCGCTCATTTAATTTTCCTCCCTCTATCTTCTTGTGGCATCTATATATCATTTGTCCACAAAATAAATCTCTTTCTATCCTGTATGCTGCCCACTCATCTTCTTTATCTACCCTCCCACTTACCAAAGGCATATACATTTACAGTATCTATGGGATCTGTTGCATTATACATATGCTTGTTATATTCACATACAAAATTTATGAGCGCACACAATCTCACACAACACAAGTGATGTGGATCGGTGCAGCAGCACCGTACTGTTCTTTTTCTGTCACTGTCACCACAGTTTACAAAAAAGTTATGTATTTACTAACATGCGAAAGGCTTTCTTAGTGTACATTTTGGGGGTTATTATTTTTTAATAGGATGTTGTTGGGAGATTGGGGGTGCGCTCGTACTTCTATTTGGTATTCAGTCAATCGCTGTCTTTTGTAACACTTCCAAAATTGACTTTATGTAAAACGTAGACAAACACAGTGAAAATTTTTGTCACTGAACTATTACAAGGTACTGAATGGGCTCTGGAGGCACATTTGAAAGGCATCTAGGGTAACAAATGAAGACACCGACTACGCAAAAAATCCCATTCAGAGATTGACAAAAATGCTAAAGATTCTTAGGGAAGGAAAAGGCAGAAAAAAAATCTACATTTAGCTCTGTACAGACGGAAGCAAAACCGATAAGGGCAGATGAGAAAATGCCTTTCCAGCAATAATTTTAAATAGTGATTGGGATGCTTTGATTCAGGGACCAGAATTACAGTCTCCGCCATAAAGGCCGGCACATTTATCACCTACGCCAAATTTAGGTAGGACTCACATTACAAAATTGCGGGAAGGCCGCTGGTATTTCTGAAATGTTTCATGCAGCAGGCTCTTCTGTTTACAAATAAGGGGTTATGTCAGACATTTGGTGACATTTGGTTTTCTGTGACAATTTCTCTCCTTTAATTCTGGTGTTGCTGAAATGCGTATTGAGAACAGCCAATAACGGCGTTACAGCGGGAACAACCGCTTCATTGCCTTGCCTCGTATGGGAGCTCATCGTTCTGGGGAGAAAAGGCAGAGATTGAATGATTAATAATAGCCGATATTCTACCAGACTAAGTGGGGGTTAGCTTGAGCTGTTGGACAAGCAGGCACATTACTGAAATATTTTCCGTTCTGTCTCATGAATCCTCTCCTTTAAACCGCAACAAGAATATGTGCAAATCGAAACAAAATCCCTGGTTTGGCATTGGCGTTTTAGTGGTTATTGAAAGAGCTCTCCCCATGAGAATTGGCAGGTCGCTGAAAGTTAAAACTATTCTTAAACTGATGAGATAGCAGAATCTAGTCCTAGTGCCGGTCTTTTTCAAGGTGCTGCTGTAGCATCTTTAAATCTGGCTTTCTGGAAATAACATATATTGGGGAAAACTCTTACTGTTGTCTGTGGATCTGACACATCCGACGACAGCCCGATGTTGAAGGCTGCTGTGAGAAGTCCCCTTTTCAATTAATTCTAATTGCAAATTTGGGATATCTGATGCAGTGCATGCCTTCTGACTGGCACAGCCCCGTCACTGTTCGCTCGATCCGCTGTGCTCTAGTGTTGTCCCTGAATCCAGAATGGCACACAAGATAACATTTCCTTTTTGACTTAATCTTGCTGATCTCTCCTTATCTTGCAGACGATCTGGCCTCATCTAGAGTCCGCCTCTATTTCTTCATCTCAAATGAAGGGAACCAGAACTTGTTTGTCGTTCAAGCCAGCCTGTGGCTTTACTTGAAGCTGCTTCCATATGTCTTAGAGAAAGGCAGCAGGCGAAAAGTAAGAGTCAAAGTCTATTTCCAAGACCCGGACACTAGCAACAAGTGGAATGTGGTTGAAAAGAAAGTTGATCTCAAAAGAAGTGGTTGGCACACTTTTCCCATGACAGAGGCGATCCAGGCTCTGTTTGAGAGAGGAGAAAGGAGACTGAACTTGGATGTTCAATGTGAGGGCTGTGAAGAGTATTCAGTGCTGCCAATTTATGTGGACCCCGGGGAGGAATCCCACCGGCCTTTTTTAGTGGTGCAAGCCCGCCTCGCTGATAACAAACACAGGATCCGGAAAAGAGGCCTGGAGTGTGATGGCAGGACCAATCTATGTTGCAGGCAACAGTTTTACATTGACTTTAGACTCATTGGGTGGAATGACTGGATCATAGCACCATCAGGTTACTATGGGAATTACTGTGAAGGGAGCTGCCCGGCCTACTTGGCCGGTGTCCCGGGGTCGGCTTCCTCCTTTCACACCGCTGTCGTGAATCAGTACCGAATGCGGGGGCTGAACCCGGGCACCGTGAACTCCTGTTGCATTCCAACCAAACTTAGCACAATGTCAATGCTGTACTTTGATGATGAATACAACATTGTGAAAAGGGACGTTCCCAATATGATTGTGGAAGAATGTGGTTGTGCTTGATTTAAGGTGTGTTTTGGGGGGGGAGAGAGAGAGAGAGGGGGAGAGAGAGAGAAACATTCCCGTACAAGATGGTGTTGGAGGAAGTTTCACTGTGTATCCAGGCATCAGTGTTGGAAAGTCACTGTGGAAAAGTTTGACAAAAAAAAAAAAAAAGAAAAAAATAATCATTTCACTTTGGTGTCAGGACAGTGGCAGTTTGTGGATCATGGACACTTATATATTCTATCACTTATAAGTTAATGCTATGAAATATCTTTAAGACACACACACATACACACACACACACACACACACACACACACACACAAAATGTGGGCACGCACACAAACACACGCTCAGACACACAGACACACACAGACACACACACATGAGGCAGCTTGGAAAAGGGACATGAGCACAGAAAGTCAGTGACCAGTGACGATGGACCTAAATGCCTGCCAGTACGAGTGAACGGCTGAGCAGCTGTTTCCCCGCCTGCCGGCAAAGCCAGACCGAAATGAGCTCCCTTTGCTCAGGCAAAAGCACAGACTGTGAGAACACAACGTATTCTTGCACGCAGGTGTCAAAATGACCAAACTTAGAAAACTAAAAAAAAACAAACAAGAAAAAAAAAAAGTCGACTGTCACCTCTTAGGTCTAACAGGAAGCTGCAGGACACCTGCCTTGGGAGGCTATCACTTCCTCTTAATTTAAATTTATCTAAACATAAACATCACAGATACCCACTTCTTGCTACAGCACTTCCAGCAAGGAATCCTGTGGTTCCATCGGGGGGAGAGAGAGAGAGAAAAGGGGGCAGACATGTTAGAAACTGCTGTATTTCTAACTCCTGGCCGTTGCGGAGTCACAAGCTGGGCTGGCGTGATCCGATGCTTTTACTGCCCACTAGCAACCCATGGTTGGCTACACCCGCCGTGTCTTGGAAGAGGGAATCGATACCATATCTGGACTGTGTTGACTGTTGGCATCTCTCACTGTGCAAAGAACAAAAAGTCAAAAGTTGCAATCTGTGTTCTTCAGTGGGGGACTCGGCAAGGCTACGTCACGTGGGGGACGAGCAAACAAGCAATGGCCACCACGGCTAAACCAATGAACCCTAAAGAGGAGTGACAGCGACAGAGTGGAGACGTTCTGGGAAATGCAGTGCATTTAATAACAGGCGAGGAGCATTTTTACAAGTCTTGGAAAGGAGGAGAGAGGAGAGTGCTTTCAATTTCCTTACCAGGAGGTGTCAAGGATGGCCATAAAGATCAGAAAATAATGATACAGCATAGCACTTGCAAACTGCTTGAATGCACGTATAATAGCACTTGCAAATTTCAATGCCTTGAAAAGTGGTACTTGATAGTGCACTTATCTTTGCTCACTATCTAGGTAAACAGGTGCCGCATGAGCTATGCAATTTAAAGTGTTGACCCATACTAGACAAAACTGGACTTATGATATGACTTTTTTATATTTTTTTATACTTGAAATTAAATCTTTTGCTTCTTTTTTAAAGCGAATGATTGCTTTTAATGTTTGCACTGATTTAGTTGCATGATTAGTCAAAAACTGCCATTTGAAAAAAAATGTTATTTTTATAGCAGCAAAAAATGAATACAGTTAAATGTATTATACAGAAATTTTGGAACCAAAGAGGCCAACATATTAGTTATAATTTTTATGAGATGGCAAAGCCATCATATATCATGTAGTCATACTGAGCAATCCCTCACAAGGCCTACCAATTGTTTCAGGGTACAAAATGGATTCTGTTTGTTCTATTCAGTGTCTTTTCTATACCATACGCACATGGAATGTAGAGTGAAAAAAAAGTGACTATTGTAGAATACATTACAATATGTGCATCCTTTAAATCCAATTTTTATGTTTATTTAATAAAGTTCCTTTTAGGTTCTGTTCCATAATAATTTAAACCAAACAATTTTCACTTAGATTTGCTGTTGAAGTATTTTACATTTGTGTACAGTTTAAATAAATAAAAAAGATTGAAAACTGGATGTGCTTTTTTTTTTTTTTTTTCAGTGTGTAACATCTGGAGGAACTTGCTTGCTTTCGGGACTGAATAGGCTGCAGACGGTGAACTGTCGCATTAGACTGTAGTCGTATTAGTCATTGCAGAAAGCCTTGTCTGAGAGCTCAGCTGTGATCCTAAAAATGTTACACTCCAGTTTTATTGCTGTCTATACATGTAAGCATCTGCTTCTTTCTCTCTGCAGCAGTGCAGGGGCTCTGGGCGCAGGAACGGCGCTGTTCCGCATACCTGCAGGTCATTTACAGCAAGTTCCTGGTTCACCTGCTGTGTAGGAATGTAACTTCTTCTCTGGGTCACTCCCTGACTGATTAGAAGAAGTAAAAAAATGTATGTGGAAAGCACTTCCAGGAATAAAGGACCAATAGTAAGTTTGATTAACTTTTTTTTTTTTTTCTCAAAATCAGATGACACTAAGAAAAGGGGTATTTTTTATTTTTAACAATATATCTCCCTTTTACTCACAAGCCCTCAAAAATGTTGAAAAATACTCAAGTACTCAGCTGCACACACATCCAGATATTGATTTAACTGATTTTCACAGATAAATTCTTCCTCCTGGAGACCTGAGCAAATGCCAGGTGAAGCTGACAGAAGGATCTCTGTTGACTTAGCAAATGTTAGATCTGACCCTGAAATCCGAAAAGTGTTGAAGAAGCAAGATCATGCAACTAATGATGGGCTCTAGTTACAATTCACACTCAGGTGTAGCTCTGCCCAGCTCTCCTCACAGCCAGGCACTGGGGTTAAACAGGAGACCTGGAAGAGTAATTTGCTGTGACTGTGTCAACAATTTGCTTCTCAGAACTTTGTCCTCCAGATCAAATTTTTTGAATATCTCACAGCTTTCTCACCACCTTGAGCTGCACATTGATTGTCAAAGCCACTAACCACTCACTGTTGCTGTTCCACCTCTCAGCAGCCTTCTCTCTGGTTTTTATTCCACGGGTCAACTAGGCTACTGGTGAGTTTAATAAATTCCCCTTGAAATCAGTGGCCAATACCTGCCCCCGCCCCTTTCACTCTGAAGGCATGTTTGCCCTAATATGACACAGTCATTATAAATAAGACTGGGCAGCCCTTTGAAAAATGGGATATATTAAGAAACCTTGCAAGGCCCTGGAGGCTGGCTCCAGTTAGGTTTTGTTCTTCATTGAAAGTGTTTGGTTCCTGGGGTCAAAGCCAAACCCTACACTGGACACTGCGACTCCTGTGCTCAGGGGCAGACCCGGGTGTCTCGGCGAGGGGTTTGGAGCTGCAGCCCTGGGAACAGGGAGCTGCTGGCAGCCAGGATGCTTCCAGCTTGGGCTGGCCAGGAGTGAGGGGGAGGATCTGTGCTCTGCATCCTGCTGCAAACCCATAAGCGATCTCGGGATCCTGAACTCTGTCACACAGGCCATCAAAAAGCACCTCTGTTCTAGGTATAAAAGTATTTTCCAGTTTTCTTCCCCTGTCCCTGCCTTCTTTGTTCCCCAATTTGTAGCTAGAGTCACGGTGTTTATGGAACAGAAACAGAAACGAAAGGATGAGCATGAATATCAGGAGGGGCATCATCTGGGAGTGGGAAGAGCTGGATCATAGTCCAGGATCCCAGGTTCTTTTCTTTTGTGTGAGACTCTAGAAATCGATGTGAACTGAACATGCTTGGAGTTTTCTGCAGCATGGAGTCACTTGCTGCTTTGGGCATTTTACAGACAGTGAGGTATTCTTGTATCCTGGTGCTGACAGCAACCTGTCACATAGATTTCTGAGGCTAAAATGAAATAAAATTGTCTTTAATTTTGTGGGACCAATCTGAGACAGTTTGGGCTTGATTTTTCAGAAATGTGATAAAGCTACTGCTCTTTCCAGCTTTTTACAGGGGAGTGCAGGAATTCTGCTTTGTGCAGCTTCCACCTCCTGCACTTTTGAAATTGGACAAAATGAAAAATGAGATGGCCAAGCCTAATGGCTGCTTTTCAAAAACTTTGGGGTGTTCCCATCTGTCATTCCCATCCTTATAAAACTGAGCATCCAGTTTCATTTCTTTTTGCCAGGTTAGGTACTCTACCTCAAAAAACAGCTGGGTCATATCCATACACCCCCCCCCCCCCCCCAAAGGTGACTTGGTGACTCCCTGTTGTCTTTGATAGGCTTTGAACTCGATTCTGTAAATGCTGTATCAGTGTCTTCTATCATGTGACAGAATCAATCTCTGGAGGTGGAGAATCTTCACCATTTAAAATATTCTAACACAGGCAAAACCCCATCCCAGACCTCGTGCTGCTGTTAATGAGGACAGTGTGAGCAGGGTGACTGTCACGATGTCACTTGTTGGATTAACTCTGCATACATCATGTATTTCCACACTTAATAGACACCTGCTCCAAAATTGCCAACTCTCACCTTCTTTGCTTTGTCACTTGTGAGAGATGAACTCAGCAGCTGAAAATTAATTGCTGCACTTGCCCTGCCACCAGAGAAGAGGGAAACCCCTCACTGAATGCATCCTTCATCAGGATAATTTTTGTATGGAGTGGTTTCTACTGGGAAGGGTGGGAAACATTTTGAAAAATATATCAGAAATACAAATTTCTGTCTAAGAGGCGAGTCTGTTTCAGTTAATGCTGATGTCAGTCTACAATAACTCCCCTAAAGTCTGCAGATGTAATTCAGGCTAGCACCAATATGAGTAAAGACAAACCTGAATCTGGTTTTCTGGAATTCCTGACTGGGCCCAGCTCATTCTCAATTCTCAGTATTTCTAAAAGAAATAATATTTCCTTTAGAATCAGCAGCTAAAAGTTTTAGCAAAACCACACATGCTGGGTGACAGATCAGAACAAGAGTAGAAGACATCTAACTTTGTAATGAATCTCCCTACATACACTGGAATTTGGCCAGGAATTAGCAATCTGCATCAGTAAAAAATGTCCCAGTAGCTTTCATTTGCTTGCCCAGTCTGTAATCTTGAACTAAAAGCTGGATTTACATGCCTGTTTGTAACAGTAGGGGCCAATTTTATTTGGGTAACTTCATTGATTTCAAGGGAATTGTTTCTGATTTGTACTAGAATAAGTGGGAGCAGATTTAGGTTCTTTAATGTTCTTCCAGTTTAGCTCTTGGAATAACTTATATTTCATTATTATGTGTTTATGTAATTAGTGCAATTATATCAAATTATATAATTGGTACAATTACTTGGACTCATGTAACCACTGCATATAGCATTCCATGCTGTAAAATCTTTTACTCTGGAAAAAAAAAAGGCAAAAAAAAAAGCAGTCAATATTACATGGGGATCTTAATTTGTTTTTAAATTCCAGTATCAAATTTAGGGCCTGACCACATGCAAGGAGCTTCTGGTTCACATCAGTGGAATCTCTGAGCAGGCAGCTTGCAGTCTTCACCATAGATATTGCATTTTTAATCTGATTTGGCCAATTCTATTCAACAGAGGCCCTCCTGGAATGTCTGCAGCCCCAACCAGCCTTCCCTGTACAAAGCAGAGACGTCAAACTTTTACACACACACACACACACACCATATGACCTGAGAGATCTTGAAGCCATCAGAGCCCCAAGATATTTGTACAGCTTTTTTATACTTGATCAGATTTACTGTCTTTGTGATCTGCTGTTGAGAATTTTAAACTAATATTTTATTAAATTCATAGATTCCCACTTTTCGGTCATTGAAACCGTTTTGCTCCTCTTCTATAACTTGCTTTCAGGCTACATTGCTGTGAAGGCTTGGAAGTAGAGGGTTCTGCTGCATCTGCTGGGGACAGAGGGAGGTTATTCTGCCCCTGTACTCCACTCAGGTGAGACCCTACCTGGAGTCTGCATCCAGCTCTGGGGCCCCCAGCATAAGAAGGACATGGACTTGTTAGAAGAGTCCTGAGGAGAGTCACAAAAATGATCAGAGGGCTGGAGCATGTCTCCTGTGAGGACAGACTGAGAGCACTGGGGCTGTTCAGGCTGCAGAAGAGGATTACAGTGCCTAAAAGGGGCTACAAGAGAGCTGGAGGGGCACTTTTTACAAGGGCATGTAGTGATAGCTTTAAACTGAATGAGGATAGGCTTAGATTAGCTGTAAGGCACAAATTCTTTGTTGTGAGGGTGGTGAGGCACTGGAACGGGTTGCCCAGTGATGTTGTGGGTGCCTCATCCCTGGCAGTGTTCAAGGCCAGGTTGATGGGACTTTGAGCAACCTGGTCTAGGGAAAGATGTCCCTACCCATATCAGGGAGTTTAGAACTAAGTGATTTTTAAGGTCTCTTCCAAACCAAACCATTCCATGAGTCTATGAAAGTTGAAGTAAGTACATCCAGCAAAACAGGAAAAACAGGTAAGAAGGAAACCGATTTGATTTTCCTAGGTGAGACCAAGGAAGACAGGGTGAGAGTTATGATTGATAACCACCTGATGGACCTCTCCTCTCAAAAGATCAGCCTTCCCAAGCGCTTTGTATTTGGGGTTCTGCCCTGGCCCAAATGCAATCATTGAACCAAGCTGCCAGTGCACAGACCCCAGGGGAGGCCCTGCTCTGCCTAAGGACATCTCCACAGAGTTTGTGTACTACTGTTCTTTCTCATTTTGGACCTGCTTTTAGAGAGGGTTCACCTTTCTGTGTGCTCTTCTGCAGTCTGGCCTTTGAAATCAGGCTACAGCACAGCCATTTTAGGGCTGCAGCTCGTGCTGCCTCACTGCCTTCCTCCAGCTGGTAAGTGTGCTCAGTGCCTGTTATTTTTATCTTGAGCTTTTGCTTTGTTTTTGAGGATAATTGCACATTATTGCTGCAATATGTTATAATAAGTGCTATGAAGATGACTATTGTATCCAAGGGGAAAGAAGATGTGGCTGGGGAGCAAACTTAAACCTATGTATCAGCAAAACAAACACGCTGTGTTTGGGCTGTGTCAGTCAAGTGCTACCAAAGTGGCATTTGGGTTTTGCCCAAGAGGAGGCTGCTGGACTGATCTTCCCCCTCTTCACTTTGTTGGCTGGTGTGGCTCGTGCCCATTTCCGCAGAGGAGTTTGTGAGGAGTTGGGGAAGAGCTGCAGCAGCCGTGCTGTCCTGCAGCCGCAGCCGTGCTGTCCTGCATCTGCAGCCATACTGTCCTGCAGCCGCAGCCATGCTGTCCTGCAGCCGCAGCCGTGCTGTCCTGCAGCCGCAGCCGTGCTGTCCTGCAGCCGCAGCCGTGCTGTCCTGCAGCCGAGCTCCTCACCACTGATGGGGGAGCCAGTCCTGGGCAGTGCAGAAGGATCCAGGTAGGAGGGTTGGATGCTGAAGGCAGTATCCATTTGAGGATAAGGAGTTATAAATAATACTGCATCTGGCTCCTGTGAGCTGAAGCACACTGAGCTCTTGGACTTTTAGACCCCCATGTGCCATATCTTATTCCCTATATCCTGTGTAATCACATTTGGTCTCGTATGGCCTGGTTTTGGGTCAGGTTTTGGAACTGATCCTTAGCTGTTAGGACTCCAAGGGTATCAAAAATAATTCAGGACCTTATAAATTAAGGCTTTGGGGTCTTGTGAAAGGAAACAAACAATGTTATCTGTGTTAATGAGAGTTGTGTATGTGTATTTTGTATCCAATTGTATGCATTATCTTTAGCAGTGATACTTCATAAGACCATATAATTTATGAGGTGGTTATCAGTGACTCGTAAGTATTTATTTATGTCTTATAAGCATTGTGTATGTTTGGCTTGATCAGGGTGGCATGTTTGCATGGGTGAGCACCATTTCATCTGTAAACACACAGACAAGAAACAAAAGGCTTTATCTAAGCAAATTGTCTTCTGCCATGCTAATGCTCCTGTAATAAAATTTATTTTGGGGGAACCTGATGAGAGGTTGGAGGTAATGCAGTGTAGCTACTGACTATTTTGAGTAGATTTCTTGCCTCTTGTGCGCCCCATACTTGGCTTGCATTCAGTGTGTGGTATGTAGGTGCCCTTGTGATGGCTGAAGAGAGGCAACCTTTTCTCAGATGTGGCTCTGCTCCACATCCAAGAGAGTGCAGCAAACCACTTTTGCTCAACTCGTGCTTTGAAATTGTTCAGAAACTGGTTTGGTCTTTAGCACAGTTTGGAGCAACCTTGAGGCTGCCTTTAGGACAGCTGCCAGGAGTCCCCAGAGTAAAAGCTGAGAAAGGGCTGGAATACCATAGTGCCCTGACCACAGGTCTTGTATTTGGCCATGCTTCCTATACTGGGAGCTTTTGGGTGGTGCTTGGATGGAGTGGAACCCATCTAAGTCTCTATGCTGAATGTTTCTTAATAAGTACGTGATAGGCACAGAGATGCAGGATTTAAACCAGCTCTGTTTCTGCTAGCTGTGCACCACAGTGGTTGAATCACTATGCTAACAGTGCGTGACAATGAATCAAGCCCTATATTTCATTTTATGGGTGGGTTCCACTTTGTTCTCATTTTCTCCTCCCCTCCTTTTGACTATTTAGACATGTGCATCTTGGAGAACATTGTTTCCAGACTGTATCCCCTTGAATGGGGTTACTGCATCAAGCAGGGAAAGTAATGCTGTGTTTAAGTTCTACCCTAAATGAAAGCTTTTTCTGCTTTGCATGCCGCAAATAGACTTTTAATTATGGGGAGCACATGCTGTAAGTGCACTCCAGGATTTGATTCCATCCTTTGTCTGTTAAGCTTGTGGATGTGCCAGCTCTTAGAGTAATCTTTTTTTTTTTAGCATCACCAGTTACAATACATAGTTAGCAGATAAAGCAACAAAAGGAATGGCAAACTAGTCTTTGTGCCAATGGTCACCAGTTTGCTGCCTCTGGTAGACTTTCTTGAGGTGATATTGAATGTTAAAACAACATTCAGGTGTGCTCTGTGATTTGCTGGGTTTAAAAATCTGTTGATGTTAATGTAGGGCCAGATTCAGTTATTCACACCTGTGGCAAACAGGTTCAAAATCCTACCAAATTGGAATTCCCCAGTCAATTACAGTCAAAAGCAGACTGCAAGACTGTACAGAGCAAAGCCTGTAGTACTTTTGGTACAATATCAGAGCCTTAGCTGAAGGTGCTATTACTCCATGAGCTTCTGTTCAGTTGCACCCATTTGCACCAGGTGTGAGTTTATCCTCTTGGCTTGTAGACAAACCCCTTGCTTTAGATCAGTCAGCAGTCAGCTCCTGGTGCTCTGTGCATTTCTGTAGCTGGTGATAGCTATTGTTCTTTTCTGCAGTATGTTCATGGCATCAGGCATTATGACTCATGTCATAACACCATTGTGAGACATTTGTTTAATAACACAGCATCCGTGTTGTGTCACTCCAGCAGTGTTCTTAATTCTTTCTATTATTAACATCTGTTTTGAAGTGTTTATATTTGTAATTTGGCTGTTCAAATTCTCACTGGATATAAGCTGGTGCAAGAGGAAAATTTTCATAAACACATCTAAAAGAATCTGACACTTTATTGGCCATACCTGATCAGAAAACCAAGAAGTGTATTTGTTTATGTCTCTTTTTGGTTTGCAATAAATGGTAATGCAGGTTTCTTCAGCACCTAGAAAAGAAAATGCAGGTGCAATTTTTTTGTTGGTTTTGCTTTTTTTACTCCTCTGGGACTAGTTGGATTTTAATTGTTAAGTATCTTTTAATTTGACAAAGCAGATACCGTAAAAAAGGTAGCTTACCTTCTTCCAGTTGGGCAAGTTACTAATTTTTTAGGGTGGCGACTTTTTTAGACAGGGCTGTATCTACATCCTATCTATAGATCTTTGAAGCTGTTTGTGCATCCCCGGCACTGTGCAGAATGTGAAGAACCTCCTTGGGTCCTTCCTTTCTGTCTACTGGCAAAAGAGTGGAGCAAGATCCAGCAAATATTTGGGCAGCAGATCTTCTGTTGAAGCTGTTGGAGTAGAAATGCTTAGTCTATAAACAGTTTGGGGTCAGGGAACTTCTGAAAAGTTCTTTGTTGCTGTTGTTCTGTTGTTGTTTTGGTTGGTTTTTTTTCTGATTGGCTTAGCTTCTGGCGATGTTGTCATACAAGGACAGCTCAGAGGTGTCTCTCTGGAACATAAATGTAGCTCTCTTCTATTCTGCTGCGATGTCTGCACTGACCCTTTATTGGGGCTCTGAGTAAATCTTGCCATAATTGATAGAAACAGCTTTAAAAGAAAAGCAAAACAGATCATGAAGAAAAGAAAGAGCTGATAAAGCTTCTAGCATCAAGAGTGTGCATGTTGAAACACTCTCTAATTATATATTTATCCAATCCAGTTAATACTACAGAGCTTGCAAAAAAAGCCCCATAATTAGGGGTTATGAAAATGTCTACATAGCAATAATATGGCACCTAAATATAGCATCTTTCCTCCTGAAGCACTTTACATCATTTGAGAACCATGGGCTCAATTCACAGCTGGCATTCACAGGTGCAACCTTATTGATTTCAATGGAATAGTGCCATTTTACCAGGGATGAATTTTGTTATAAATGGGAGTTTTATCTCAGGGGCTTGTAGGGCTGCCCATCACAGTAGTATCTGCATATCTTTTACATCAAATTAACTGGCAGTTGAAAAACCTTCAGCAGACTTCACAAAGTCTCTGCCACATCTGCCTTCTTATCCTGCAGAAATCTTTTTTTTGGGCTAAACTCTCTCATATTTTTTGTCTTTTGGAGACTGGGAGAGAAAAACAGCTGATGGTAGTGAAGATACAATGCTCTTTTGGTGAGTAATGTGACCATGGGTTTCATTCAATGATTCTGCTGGAAGCTGAATTCACAGTTTCTGATTTGAGAATATCAGGACTTTGGGACTTGTGTTGTCAGAGAACCTCTAGAGCTCAAACACAGGGTGACTGTAGCAGGACCTGAATTATGCATTGGTCGTGGTACCCATCACTGATGAAGTGCCTGCTATGTACAATTTAAAAAAATCCTAAGTGAACTTTGTCTAATACCTGGTGAAGTCACTAGGAGTAAGGCTCAATGCTTATGTAAGGATCAATGCTCTGTATTCCCCAGCGTCAGAATAGGCCCTGGAGATTTTGGTCTACTTCTCTGCCATTTTGCAGATTACCTATAAAAGTAATGACAAACCTGTCACCTACCTCTCCCTAACATGGGAAAGACAGTGTTCCCTGAGTGTGAAGTAAAAAGGGTGTATTGGGAGTTCAGAAGCAAAGAAAAATAGTTGGCTTGTAGTTCAGTTGTATTTACCACAACCTTCCGTGTGAGGAAAATTTGATTTGGCTGAAACTCGTCAGCTTGAAGATGAGATGTTGGGGTAGGAGTGAATCCTTCAAGTCAGAAAGTGGGCAGGGATTGTTTGTTCTGTGGCAGTGTATCAATTAAAGTCATTAAATGAAACTAGAAGCAGCCAGGCTTAAAGCAAACAAAAAGAGATGTTCTCTATGCAGCTGATAGTGGACACAAGGAATTCACTGCCAAAGGTGGTTGAGGAGGCTAAAAGCTTATTAGAGTTCAAAGGATGACTGGACAAGTTTGTGTAAAGAAATGCATGGAGGATTACTAAGTAGCTAGAAACCACATCTGGCTTAGGAAATACCTTGATCTGAAAATAGCTGGAGGCTAGCAGAAATGTGAGGGAAATAGCATAAGTGGTTCTCTGGCTTCTGCTGCTTTCTGGCTTGCTGCAGGAGCCAGGTATAGGAGACTTGATGCTGGGCTAGATGGACTGGTATGGCCATTCTTCTGTTTGTACTTGATGTGACAGCTCTGCCCTGCAGGTTGTTGCAGCAGGCACATGTGGGTCAGGGTTCTTAGAGGTGTTGTGTGCTTTAGTTCTCCTCCATTTGTCATTGGTAAACTTGGTCCCATGTTGTCTGTGACGGTCTGGGTTCAGAACCTATGAGAAATGCATCTGGAATGTCTTTTATGTTGGAATACCTGCTCAGTGTGAATGGAAAGGCACGATTGTGGAGTACTGAAAATCAGTCCTGTTTCCTATAATAACCGATTTTCCTTTGAGGCTTCTTCTCCAAAACTTTACAAGACAGACCCTGTGTAGTTCTGAAAGGATTGAGGAGCTATATAGCTTTATTGTGAAAGAGAATAAATTATATTGAGCAACTCCTACACACACATACGGAAGAAAAAAATTTCACCTCCTCCCATAATATCAGATTGCTGATATTCCCTGCATAGAACTGTAGGGAATAAACAAATGCATTCATTAACATTTACCCAGTAAGGTGAACTGAGGACAGAATATCAGTCCAGATATCCAGGCTTATCTCTGAATTTCCTGGATTTTATGGGTTTAAGTCTGACTCTGAACAGGTCTTAAGGGCATTTTCTTGGTGGATTAGAAGGATCTGTGTTTGGATGGTCCCATCTATAGTACCTATGGGATTGTACAAAGCCCTAGTTTTACTATTTGTATCTGTTTTAAAATCCTGCTATTCATTTTCCTGAGTCAAACAGCTTTCCAACTAGAAATAGAGTTGGGTACATAGCACGAGGAGAGTACACATCTGGAAAGAGCTCGAAAGACTCAACCAATGCTTCACAGACAATGTTGGAAAACAAACAAAAACCTCTCTGAAAATGTGGTCTGCAGATGGGTCTTTATATTCTCTTCCCCATTATTTTAATGGGGAAAATTCATCTTTAACAGAAAGGCATTTAGCACAAAAACAGCAGGAAAAGGGCTCAATGGGAGTCATTTTCCAGGATATCTTTCTGTCTGGGTCAGAGAAGAAATTCTTCTGTGCCAAGAGATTCTACTCCTCACAGGGTACGTGCAGTGTCGAAAATGTCGTCATCAGTGTCTTCTGCTGGAACAGTGCTGGGTGAAGCTGTAAATTTCCTTGGGATATTTCTCCAGTAGCTGGTATGGGGCTCTGCTGTGGGCTCGCCCAGTTTGCCACAGAAAGCGTCGCGTGGCTCGGGCGGCCAATCCCAGCTCCAAAGATGGTGTGCTTGTTGCAAGCTCGTGCCAAGCCATCTGTAAGATTTGTCAGATAAATGTGACTAGCGAAGTGGCACTCGTGAGCAGATGAAGGGAAATTCCCTAGGGGATTCTTTATTCGCTCATCATTAGCAGGAGAGGCAGTGGGAAAATTCATTGTTTAGCTGTTCAAAACACTGGTGAACATTTGATACTGAATAATCTTTAAATCTTTGTCGGGGGATGTCAAACGTGTCTTGAGCAGCCCAGACTGTGCTGGAGGCAGAGTATCATGTTCTGCATGTCGCGCTTACCTTCATGAAGAAGGATAAAGATATCCCAGTTCCTCAATTTTGTATTCACCTCAAAACCACCTCCCCTCCCTGGGGTAGCTTTATTTAAAGTGAGCTGAGGCATGGAGCAGCCTGGAGGTGCATTACTGCTGTTTACCTGTGTGTGTCCCCGATCCTAAATGGAAAATAAAATGTGTCCCTACTGTGAGAAGGTACTGCCCATTCACTAAATGAAACTGGCTTGCAGGATTTTGGTGGCAGCTTTTCAGTGAGGACTAACTCTCATTTGCTCTGGTCATGAGGCTGACTTAGATGTGATGTCTTGTGGAGTAAACTTACTGGATTCTGCCACTGGTATTTTGTGAGCTAAAGTGAGCCCACTCTTCATGCTGATGAGAAACAGGTCGTCAGTCTTGCATGTTCTCTCTAGAACTCCTTTTGTGCAACTCTCTTTGCTTCACCAAAGGGATTTTTTTAGTCTTAGAGGTAATTAAGCTCCTATAACTGCCTTCCCTACTTCCCTAGCCAAGATATTTTAGGCAAAGCCCTTGGTTCTTTTACATTTTTATGGTGGGACCAGGATGCTTTATGATGTCTGTGCGCTGACAAGGGCACACATGGCACAAAATATTCTGCTTGCATTGTTAGCAGCCCTATTATTCATTCAAATAGACTTATATTTAAACTTATATTTAAACAGGAGCTTTGAAATTAATGAAAATATAATCTGCTTGAAAGATACGTTGTAGTTGCACTCACTGGGGTCTTTTCCTCCCAGGGAGGACTGGGAGAGGGTACTAAGTTGGTGTTTGGGGAGAAGGAGAGAGGAGGTTTCAAGATCCAAGTCAGAACACTCTGTGATTCTGTGAGATTCCCAGTTCCATAAACTCTACCATGGCTGGAGACCAGCACAGGTTTCATCCTCAGGGAGGTTGACTTAGTGGAGAGCTGGTGAAGAGGATGCAGGGAGAAACGTGGTCTTCTACTGAATCCCATAAGACCATTCCTCCAAAGGCTTGCTGGTGTGAGGTACTGTAAAAGATTAGGATTCTGTCTTCCACCACTTCTTCACATAAGTCAAGATGAAAACCAAACCTAACAATCCATAACACCATTGTACCACAGCAAGGGTTCCATATCCACATTCAGCATCTTCACTGTGTGAGCAGATTTGAAAAAGCTGAACCCCTTTGCAGCTCTGTTTGGCTTGAGGGAGACATGAAGCAGCATCTGACTTAAATTGGTAGTATGTAAAATGTAAAGGCTATCAGTGAATCTTGAGGAATGAATAGGTAGTTCTTCAGATGCAGCAGGTTTCATCAGTGAAAAGGTATTTGTGAATTTGAGTTGAATGCAGTGGATAGCTAGAAAAATGAGAATATTCCAACAAGAGCTCCAGACCTTTCTTCAGTTTTTCTCTAAATAGATGAACTTCTGTTGACTCCAATACAATGTTGCTTGCTTGCATGACATCGGTCTTTTTTATTACAAAGGAAAAAGTCACCTCACAAGAGACCTTTGATGTTTTAATGTGTCCTGGCATATTGATAGATACATCCAGTGGAGAAGAACAATCTGGGACACTTGGTCTGCATTTGTGCTTTGCTGGAGATTTGCTATGTAACCTCGAGCAAATCTATTAATCTCCCAGTACCTCAATTCCCCAAATGCAAAATGGAGATAATAAAACATAACTCCCTTAGCAGGGTAAACACATTAAAAAAATGCACTTAAAAGCAGTTGGGTACTAGGTTAATGGAGACCTATATCTTGTGGGGAAGATTTGTTGTATTATAAATAATACATCTTCACAATTATTCCACTTAGTCTGCCTTGAAGCCTTCAAAGACATACCACGCAAATGTTTACTGGCAGCATGTTTCCCCCCTTTTATTGGCCAACAACATGTTTAGACCAGACTTTGCTGTGGCAAAGTATTTCAGCACATTGCACATGGCAAATGGCTCTTTTACTGTAAAAGTAGATTTTAATTCTTTTAGCGAATACCCCAAATAATGCTGTACTCAGCAAAGGCCTGTGCACCTGGAATAGCTGTCTCTGAGCAGATTTTCTTTCCAAAATGTTCAGCATGCTTCTGCCTAGAGCTTTCAACAGAAATGGAGAATGAAGGAGGTGTGGTGGGTACCAAGGACAAACATTTTAAGGGTGAGTTAACTTTGCAGACCACCTGAAAGAACTTGGGTATGTCTCAAGTCAGCTAAGCAATGCTGGTGTCAGAATGTCCTGGACAAAAAGGCCAGTGTTGCAGAGCACGGTTGAATTGCCTAGGGTACAAAGTGGGGGTCTGGGGGGCTCCACTGCAGTGTTAGTGCACAGGAGCTATTCAAGCCTTTAGACCACCCACTGTTTTAGCAGTGTTACTTAGCTTCCCTGGACTCTGTAATTGCTCTTGTCACATTACTGAGGATAATGTAGAAATATTGCAAGCATTTGCCTTGAACTTGGAGTGTTGAAGCTTATGTAAGGAGGAAAAAAGCTACACAAAATAAAATGAAGGGTGTGATTCTTATTGCACTTGTGCTTGTTTTACACTGGTTTTCCCTCTGATGGAGTAATTCCTCTTTAATGATGTAATATGTTTAGAAGAAGACCTCTGTATGTTTGTGAAACATCTTTGCCTGTCCAAAAGAGGTGTGTTATGAGGGTATTTTGAGGAAAGCAGCATCCTGGAATTGGCATTTGCTTCAGTTCAGATAAGATTTCTTTTTCCCCCCTCATACAGTGAAAGGCCAGTGAGGTGAGAAGAAGGAAAGCTTTCTTTCTGTGATCAGGACATCAAATAGAGAATTGGATTTTTTCAGGTGCCTTTCCCAAGGGGATGCTCCCTAAGAGCTGATGATGGTAGAGGTATGCTGTCACACCCTCTATCTCAGGCTGCTGGAGATGGGCAGTGGGATTTGCTAGTGTGTGAGACCTGTCATGTACCTGCTTCCCAGACTGGTATAATAAACCTGTGGTAGCTCTGGTGACACAGTTGATCCCAGGTCTGTGTCTGCTGCACAGCTTGGGAGGTGTCATGCAGCCAGCTGAGAAAGGCTGGGTACCAGGAGAGTTTGCTTTTAACCTCTGCCCCGAAGTACAGGAACTATGGAATTGAGGGGTTTTTGGTATCTGTGATGTAATGCTGTTGGGTGAGGGGCACCATGGAAGAATAGCAGCAGCACAAAAGTACAAAGGACCCTAAGAAGAATACCCTGAAATGAGGATTAGATGGGAAGAAAGGTATTCCTGCAGAGGGGTTTCCACACTTGCCAGTAGCCCCTGACAATTCTCCTGATCTGATGCTAACAGAAACCCCAGCAAATGTTTATTTTAACCTCTGGCAAACATCTATTCATTGGGTAAGAGTAAAAAGTTGATCTCATGCTTGGGAGGAGCTTGGGAACAGCTAGTACATGCCACTTGGCTGTGCTTCAGGCACAGCTGGCCAGTCCCTCCAGCAGGTGATGCTGGGCACACTGGAAGTGCTCCTGGTCTCTCTCAGGCTGTGTGTGCAGCAGTGAGCACAGCTCTGAGCCTCTCTGCAGCCTGGTCTGCATGGGCTGTGTTAGAGGAACCTGTCAGAGGGTTGAGGTTTGATTGTGTTTGACCCCTAAACAGTATGCTATTGCTAAGAAGGTAGCATTAATTTGTGGGTACCCACGTGTGCTGCTTGGATTGGCACCTCTGGTTGCAGACTTCATTAATGTTTATTCCACAGCATAACCCAAAGCAGCCGAACCATTGTTCTGCAATAAGGCAAAGAGATGTATCTGCATTGTTTTCTTAGTCTATTGTGGAGAGGCCAAGAAGAGAAACTACGTAGGAGTAGATACTCCAATCTGGATGATTGATCTCCCAGTGGTGCTAAACTGAAGGTCAATTTTTTTCATATTGCATAACTGCTACTGTTGCTCCTATATGCCCTAATGAAAAGCATTTATTTTGACTCTGTATTTTGGGTGTCCTATGTATCTTGATGCCTAGAGTCTATAGGTTAACTAATTCTTTTTTTAATTGGGAAATATTTAAAATTACTCTAGATATTAATTTGCTGATATCATGACTGTACTTTCTATTGTGATTCAGATTACCTCCTTTAGTAGTGTCTTGTCCTTTCTCCTCGATTTTAACTGCGTTTGGGACATAAAACTGTGTAGTGCAGGGTCACTTATTCTTCTGTCTTGTGATCATCTGTTACCTAGACTAGCAGACAACAAAGAAAAAAATGGTAGTGCCAATCTATGAGGTGTCACTATTTATGTATAGCACCTAGCACAGTTGGGAGTATATATTATCGACATTGCTGTGGTGTGAAGGGACCTTAATGCTCCAGGCATTACACAGACAGACAACAAAATATGGTGCCTCCCCAAAGAGCTTATGAACAAAATGTGGTTAATGATCAATTGCTCTTTGCAGCAGAACCCTGTGGAACCCCAGTGGATTGAAGCTGCAGGAAGAAGTGACACACACAATGGCATGTTTATCTGACTGACAAGCTATGCTTGTGCAGAGGCTCAGGGAGGGCTGTATGCCAGATTCCTTGGGAAGAACCTGCAAGCACTATTTCATGTGAATAGGAGGACTTAGAATGATGAAGTTAAGGCCTAGCTAAAAGCCAGTGATCATAGAGAAGGGATGGCTGAAAACGTGAGTCTGCAAGAATCACTTCAGAGAAGGCTAAATGGGTATTTCTACCCATGCTAGGGTTCTTTATACACAAAAACAAGCCAGCTAGAGGCTGACACTTCTCTGCTGAACCAGGCAGAGGCTGCTGGAGAAGCTGCCTTGGTAGGCCTGGGTGTACCTGTTGTGTCATCGTGGAGAGGCATTGAAGGCCCACGCAATGCTGATTAGAAACTGGTGCTATGGAGAGGCAGGATAGGAAAAAGGGAATAATAAATTTTAAGTTGTTAAAGAGGTCTACTGGCATGGGGACTGTGGGAGAACAAGGCTTTCAGAAGAAAACACAGATCTGCTGTTGTGCAGGGGTTGATGACTGCTCAAGGCTGAGGATGGGAAGACTGAAACTCATGTTTCCCTAGGGAAGGTGCTCCAAGCCTCAAACTTCTACCTTTTAGACCAGCAGAGTGTAGGAGAGTGTTGCAAGATGATGAATCTATAACGCATCTTTGCTTGCTTTTTTTGAGGGGAAAAAATATGCAATGGCATGGAAAGAAATTCATTGAGGCAAGGTTGAGGTTGAAGAAGTATCAAAAACTAATGAAAAAGCAATGAAAGTGCAGGAAGCAAGGTTCATCTGCCTTGGAAGAGCAAAGCTGGCCCTAGAAAAAATGGCAAAGCAAGAGAGCAACTGTGGGGAAAAAAATGAAAATCCCAGTCACAATAATGTGAAAAGGAGGCTTTTGGAGAACATGTGGTGCAGGTGGCCAGCACCTAAGGAAAGGAATGCAATGGAGGTATAACCAGACAAAAGAAATCGAGTTAAAGTAGAAAGCACAGCTTGTGACTAAATTAAAACAAATATTTTGCATCTTACTTTTTTTTTTTCTCCACCAGATTTTACACACAGCTTTTGTAAGGACTGTAAAGTATTTTGAAAGGTGTTGAAAAAAGTAGTAATTTCAATATCAATGTATTTGGTGATGGTTTTAACTATTTGTTTTCTGGTAGAATTTGGGAAAGAGTTGTAAATCCGCAACCTGCATTTCTTGTTTTAGCATGAAAATGTGAAATTCTTTGTATGAGTTGGACAGAACACTCAGAGGCATAGAAAGAAGGCATAAAAATGCAGACTAAATAGATTCAATATGAATCAAATGGATTCAGATGTGAAATTTGCAAATGCAATCTACTATAGTGTAAATAAGGTTTATTTCAAGTTTTATCCCAAGCTTGATCTGCACCTGAAAAAGCTTAGCCAAAACAGAAATACGAATCTGTACAAAACCTCTTGCCAGAGTTTAAAAACTAATTTCAACTTAAACTAGTGCAGCTTTTAGTTATAAACAAAAGATGTACGTTAGAGTGGAAACTGAACTCTGATTTCTGCTCTTCTAATTCAGCACATACACCACAAGCCCACTGCCTATGGGCCTATGGTATGAAAATCAGAGCAAGAGAGGCAGATGCAGAGCACAGCAGCATAGGATGGTAATGTTTTGGTCTTTGTCATGCAATATCCTTCTGTAAGAGCTGCAGATGAGGGGAGCCAAGGAAGGGCTCTCTCTAGCCCTTGGAGGTCAGGGTTGAAGTACTTATATTGTAGTGTTGGGGAACTGAGGTTTCACGGAATGGGAGAGGTTGGAAGGGAGCTCGATGAGTCCCAGGACACATGGCACAGGACTGGGTCCAGACAGTTCTGGAATATCTCCAGTGAGGGGAACACCACAGCCTCTCTGGGCAACCTGTTCCAGTGCTTGGTCACTGTGCAGTAAAGAAGTTCTTCCTTTTATTCAGGTGGAACTTCCTGTGCATCAGTTTCCACTCATTGCCCCTTGTCCTATTGCTTGGCCCCAATAAGAGCTTGGATCCATCCTCTGTCACCTCCCCTTATAGACTGTTAGTCTACAAATCGATAAATGTCCCTGTCATTCTTTCCTTTCCTCTCCCCACAGTGTGGAAAAACATGGCTAGAAACATCACCTGGATGTGTGAAATGCTTTTTTCCCCCTCCCTTGCAGGCTGTGGAGGCTCAGATCTTTCCACTGCAAAGTGAAGAGCTGATAATCCTCTGCAGGGTCATCAGAGCTGCTGAGCTGTCAGACTTTGGCTGCTCCCTGTATTCCCATGAGAACAGGTGCCCATTCTTCTTGCTTTAGGGGATGCTCCATTTGCACAGCTTTAATCAGCATGTTATGGTTTTGGCCATTGCAGTTTATGATAGTGATAAAGTATATATTTTTTAAAATGTGGAATCGGCCCGTGCCTCATTGAACCATGTACAAATAAAAGATATGGAAATCAAAACTGGTTTGGCTTGCTGGCCAACATAGACAATAATAAAAAAAGAACAGGTGAATAATTCTAGCAGGTAATTCCCAGTCTTTAGTGGGTGCCTAAACTTCCACATGTCAGAAGGAGAGAGAGCAAGACTTTTCCTAGCAGCATTGCATGCATTTGGAGAATGACGATTATGACTTGGAAACATTAATTCTCATACAAGATGTTCTTCTTTGACATTCTAGTTTTATGAATATTAAAATCCTTATCATCTGGTCAACAACTCCTGCTACTCATTTTGAGAAAAGCTGATACTTTCATGTTGTTCTCTAGGTGGAGCTTACAGAAACACTGTTCTATGATCCTGCACAGGCAAGAGCACAAACAGAATAGGAAGCTGGACAGAGTCCTCTGCTATAATCAATCTTGCTCAAAACTTTAGGTGAAATAAAAGGAATGTGATTAACCATTTTCAGATCTGACCCTGCTGAAAGCCTCTGAGAAAAAATAAATATCTTGCTATGTGGGCAGGCTGCTATCAGTATCTATCTCAGGGAAAGATTTCACTTGATGACAGAATTATTATTAAATCATGTATTTGGTTGCTGGGAGTTACCTCAGACTTGAAATCCAATAGATAATAGGCTTTATGTCGCTGATGAAATAACTAAATGTGCTTATGTTATATCTGAAGTAAATGAAACAAGCAAAAGGAATCTACTAAATGGCTTAACGACATTTTCTACTTCACTTCTGGAAACAAGTGAAAAATGAAACATTTCCCAGTGCTTGGCTGAGTGCAGTGACATCATTCTTGTTCAAGGGTTTAACTGAAGCAAAACAAATAGCCCAACTGCTCTGACTCTGCTGGGGTGGAGAAGAACATCTTGGGTCCTAAATGTGCTTATGGACAATACCCACGGGATACTCTGGGGACCCTGAACTGAATTTGAGACACATACCTTTAATAAATAATAAAATCTCATTTTGACTTTTTTTAATACCTGCTTTTCTGTTTCCAAGGTACATCATAATGCAATGTGATTGGAGTAGTGAGATCACTCTTCTCCCTAAGAAAAAAGATTATGCAAGGATGTTAATCATATTAGTTGTAACAGAGGGCAGCTATCTTTTCCAATACTTGTTCCACAACATAAATAATTTTTCTGGGTGTCTTCAGGAAGGATTAAAAAGTCTGCTGTTAAAGAGTAAGGAAGATATGGACTTTTTGATTTTGTCTTTACCTTTGTTACTCCCACCCAAGATAAAACGTCAGCAGCAAATTTATCTCTGTTGTGTCTTCTGTCCAAGTCGGCTTGGGTCTCTGCTTCAGACTGTTCGGTGTTTGATAATTTGCATTTAAGTCAAAGCTCCAGTTACCTTCTGCCTGTAATAGCTGTCAAGGTGTAAAATACACAGCCTCCGTGAAAGCACTGCTTAATTGGCAAATAATTCATGGCATAGGCCTTCAGCTGTGATTGCAAATCAAACTGATAACAGGAAAAATCCTGCAGTGAACACAGCCATCATTATCTTTTAACAACTGAGAATCTCACAAGCAGCTTCTCTTGCTGGGGGGTGGAAAAGCTCTAGCCAAGCTAAACCTATCTCAAAATTCTGAGGAATTTGCAGGAAAAATGATTAGATGAGTAGGTTTTCCAGGCATTGCTATAATGGATTTTGTCTCAGAATAAAAAATGGAGGTCATACTGAGAAAAGGAAAATGTTTCTTTTATGTGGTCAAATGTGGAAGCCTTCCAAATTTGGGGAAATACAGTAATAAATCTGCAGCCACCTAGAATTATGTGGTGTTACAAGTGAAGACAGCTCCAAACTTCATTCCTGCAGCAGGAGCAAAACTCCATTCCCCCACCTTGAATCCACCACTGCCTCAGCTCATCTTCATTGACCCAGTGTGCTCTCCAATGTGGAGTCAGACTGCCTGGGCCCCTGCCTTCCAGGGCATTGCTGCCCAGCACAGATGCTTTTTTGTACAGTCACATCACAATTTTTACAAAAAAGTATTGCCTGTACTCTACAGTGACATTCAGAGGTCCCGTGGGACTGGGTGGCATCTCGTGTGTTTCTGGATCCCTAGCTATGGCAGGCTACCTCATCAGTTGACTTCAAGAGGGGAGCTGACACTAAGATGGATTTGGTTTCTCACCTCTGTTGCTCTCCAGGAAGTATTCAGGTGCTTCATCTCTCTGATGGTTAAGCAGTAGCTGCTTCCCCTGCTGAGGTTCTGCACTTGGTACTGTGCACAAGCCTGGGAGGGCACCTTTGCTCCCTGGCAGCCTCTCCTTTACAGTTCTCTCTTGCATGCTTAATGCTGTCAATTCATTTCATTTTTTCCTCCCCTTTCCCTCTTGCTTGGGGATTTTCTGCCCATTTTCTCTGTGTTGCCAAGTGGTTCTGTGTTGTAGCTTGTTAACTGCCAGTGTGTTGGTGTTGCATATGGTAAAAAATCGTAGCTGGCAATGTAGTATCACCTCCGCAAAAGAAAAAGATGTGAAACCCTACTGAATTCAGCCCTGAAGCTGCTTTTGCTGGGACCGTCTGGGGCAGAGACCCTCACGGGTACAACGAGTCAGGGATGCTGGGCAGCCTGGAGCACAGGGCTGAGGTCGGGCCAACGTCTGTGCCACCAGGGATTTTAAAGGCTGAGGTTAAACACTATTGCTGGAAATTCCTTGGGAAAAGGAAGGGGGGGACTCCAGAGGGAGCAGAACATGTAATGAGGGCGGAAAGTGAGCTTTGCCCCCGAGCTGGTGCGAGAGGGGAAGGGGGGGGACGGTCGCTCGCCACTACGAGGAAACAAGCCCCCTGCAAGGGAGGCGGTGTTGCTGTGCGGGGACAGGCGGGAGAGGAGCAGAAACCTGCGGAGGAGAGGGGCTGGGGGCGGCGGGGTGAGGGGGCCCAGCGCGGCACCGGCCCCGGGGGCCGTGGCAGCGCCCGGGCTGCCGTTGGCACCTCGGTCACGCGCGTGGCGAGCTCCGCCGGTGCACCGGGCCCGCGGCGCGTGGGTGCCCGTGGCGAGGCGAGGTGTGGGACGGAGCCGAGCGGGGCCCAGCTGCTTCTGTTTATGCTCCGCGGCACGGAGGCACACGCACACACACACACACACACACACGCGCACACACACACACACACACACACACACACACACAGCGCGGCTCGCCGGCACTCCGCCGTGGGTGCTGCCCGTGGGGAGCCCCGCGGGCACCGGCGGCGCTCCGCGGCCTTGGGGCCGGGCCCGCTCGCTCTCCCCGGGCCGTGGTGCTGGGCCGCGGGGATTGTGTCGCTTGGGATTCGCCGCTTCTCCCCAGCAGTGCAGCCCTCATCCCTCCGTGCTCTGCTCGGGAGGCCCTGGCAGAATTCAGGATCCCTTTTTTCTCTTTTCCATCATGAAAACAATAGTGGAATTCCTGAAAAGGGGTGAGCGTGTACCTGCATGCAGGTGTGTTTAGGGAGGGAGGCAGGTAAAGCTGAGAAGTAAGCGGTGAAGGGAGGCAGCCCGGGGTCTCCTGCTTGCCTCAGTGGTTCTCGTGAGGCCATCAAAGCATTGTGGAGTTGCATCACAAAACCCAGTTCCACTTCATTTGGCTTTTTGAGCCACAGTCCAAGTCCCTGAGGACCATAAACTTTTAACGCACCCCCCTCAGAAAGAAAAATGTCACACACAGTCAGTGAGTGCCAGAAGCTCTGGTCTGCTGATGGTCTTGATAGTGTCATGGTGGAAGAGCAGTGTACCTGGAGTAGACACTCAAGGAAAGGGGAAGAGACCTGGGCTCTCTCAGTTCTGTCTCTTCGTTTCAATTTGAGCAGGACACGTGGCTCCTGACACATGTTGTCTAACCAGCTTGGTTTTATGTGCTACTTCAGTCAGGAAATTAATCGGGCAAAAAAGATAAGGAAGCATTATGCTATTCAGAGTAAATCGCCGCATTACACAATGCTGCTCCCATTGCCTAGGTAAAGCTGTTTAAGAAAATGGGCTGGCTTGAGGGCTTCCTTCTGATTGTCTAATTAAACTTCCAACCTTTGCAATTATGAAAATAACCATGTGGTTAGAAGTACTCGTATATGCTATAGGTAACTGTTGAATTAGCTAGAAAGAGGCTAAGATGTTTGCACTGAGATCTTATTCCAAGATATCTTTTTTTAATGCACTTTGGCTTTTTTTCCAAAGACGCTATTTCAATGTGTAGTAGGACAAACTCATAAATGCAACTGCTGTGATGACTAAAACTAGAGGTTCACTTGTTGCAGCTTTCCATTTGCAACAAGACACAGTTAAAAAAGGCCTTTGAGGAGACAAGAGACACAAACCAGTTTGGTCTTTGTAGCCCCAACAATTAATTTCCATTTAAAAATCTTTCATCCAATGACAGACAAGCATTTGAAAGATGACGTCTTGTGGCAGAGTTCCACTGGTTAGCTGTATGCTGCATTAATGCAGAAAGCATTAACTATTTTCCTGTTTTCTGCTTGCAGACATGCTTCACATGCTATTATATGAGAAGATAAAGTTGTAGCTTGTTTTTATTGCTCCTGGGAGCATTCTGGCTATTTTTTTATTATCTGCAGTTTTGAATGCAGGTAGTTAATGCATAATTCTCAAATACTGTTTGATTCATCTCACTTAAGTCAATCAAAGTCAACAAACTCCTGTAGGATGGGTATGTGCCCTAGCCTCATATAATTTGCTATCTTTCCAAGGCAAATATAAATATTGGAAATAGTTGTCTGCCTGATCTCGTGGGGTATAGTACTTTTCAGGTGAAGGTAACTCTGTTTTTCTCAGTACACCTGTGCACGGTACAAGCAGCAGGCTCTGCATGCCACAGCCATGAAGGTTTTCATTAGAGCAAAGCTACAGATGCAGATATTAAAAATCCAGTCTTTGAAAGAACTGTCATTTCTCTCTTAAGCCCCTGACTCATCACTGTGGATAACTGCATCAGACAAAGGACTGGTAGCAGGGGCTGTGTTGGCCTCCTATGCATTGGAAATGGACTTCATGCCACCCAAAGTGTTTCCTTTAGTACCTTATCCTTGGCTTTTGCTGATGTGTGTGAACACATCCCTTTGCTAGTTTGCTTGTGCATCTCTTGTCATGACCCTGAGATCAGCTCACTTGGTTACAGCATGGTGGTAATATCACCAAGGTTGTGGGTTCAATCCCTGTATGGGCCATTCACTTAAGAAGTGGACTGGATGATCCTTGTGGGTCCCTTGCAACTAAGAATATTCTGTGCCCCTTTTTTTCTCCTGATTTATCTGATCCTCCTTATGAAAACAGAGCTATGTCGTGCACAGCTGGATGCGCTTTGAGAAATCTGCTGCCTGAGTGCTACCTGTTCATGTGATCGGAGGGGAGTGCTGAGCTGAAGAATAGAAGATGTCTTTTGTGATTGATCTGCCAGGCGGGTTTGATAGCGCGGAAAAAAGTAGGTGTTGTACATACAGGAACGTTAGGGCTTGGACTCTGTTTTCAGTATGAAAAATGAAGTGTTGAAATTGGAAGGGAGCGAGGGCCTTTGCATAACCACGTGGTAAGTGCAGATGAGTGACTTGTCTGGTGCGTTCGAGTGATTTTTCGGTTTCTAATGGCACTGGTTGCAGTGGGGACTGCAGCGTGGTAGCCCGTGGAGGTACTGACAGAAGCAAGGATCTGGTGGTGAAGGTGCGATACATGTGGTATTCAGCCATCACTCAATGCTTCACATTCTTGTGAGAAATCTGCTTTAATCTGGGTCTGGTTCCAACTGGCAGTGCATAACAACAAGGCTTTCCAGCCTTCTCCTCCCCCGGGGTTTCAGTCCTTAAAGATGCAGGTTCTGATAGCATGTTTTTCTTTCTAATCCAAAATTTAGTTAAAAAATTGACAAGCACTTGCACACAGCAAAATATTTAACCTTACTGCCAAGATGGAATTAGCCTCTGAGTTACTTTCTGCTATTTCATGGTTAGCAGCACTGTTGCAGTGAGAAAGCAGCACAGCTACTTCTCTTCCCTTTGCATCCAAGTGTGCCATGAGGTCACCCTGTTATCACCATGGCTTTTCTGAGGTCTTTCTCTAGTAAGATTGTCATCTATTTCTTTTCTTGTAATGTAATGATCCCCTTCTCACAAGGTCCCAGGAAGCAATAGGTAAGGGATCACAGCCCCCTGGGACACAGATGTGATCCTTCTTTTCCACTCCCAAGATGCAGAACTTCCATGCAGTGGTGGTGACTGCCAGGATCTGTTCCGTGACTGAGCAGGGCTACATATGGGTAGAATATGCTTTCCCTGATTTATTTCAGGGTGACCTTTAGTATTCTGACACCATTTTTCATATATTTAGCAGAGTGAAGATAACGTAGACTAGAGATTACATGTCTAGATGTGTATTCCATTGCCAGCTGTTTATGCCCCTAGCCACTGAAATGGACTGTTGTCAGACTTTGTTATGTAAAGTGTATGATATTTGGTAAGAATAGGCTTTATATGCAAAGTCAGTGCCCCAGTGCTAACTTAGAGAAAACCATTCTCTTTCTAGCTATAATAAGCAAACCAGGCTAATTTTGCTCCAAAAGGCCAGTTTTTCATGGCCCTTTGTTGTTGATGTGGTCTTAGGTTTCTTTGTGCTATGAAGAAGCCTCAGTGATTCTCTCTCAGGGGTCATTTTGATTTTTGGGTTTGTTTTTTTTTTTTACCAGTATAAAAAAGCTCTTGTCCTTCCCTGAAGACTTTTGAATTGTGACTGGCTTTCATAAGTCCCTCTTAAAATGTTTGTGACACTGTAAGAAATGTAGCCTCAGTGCCTTTAAAAATCTTGACAACTTCTTGGTAAGCTGACTGTAATAGCAAGGCTGTCCTGTGCTGGTAGCTCCAAGCTGATCTGGTGGCAGTGACACTGTCTGTCTCAGCTCAGTCCATCCAAGGAGGAAAGGATCAGTTTTTGGAAGGTTTTGCAGGGCCCCTTTGTACAACATCTGGCATTGCAGAGCCACAGTGAGCATCATAGCACTCCACTCATAAGGACCTTGTGAGCACCAGTGCTGAATACGGCCCCTGATACCAGGCATCAGCCTTGGTACAGCCGGGCTCTGAGAGCACAAGTATTTGGGTCTTTTGCAGTTTGCAAATTACACTGATGCTCAGTTCTTTGCTGGTCTGGGACCTAAAAATCCCATCTGTAGAAATTGTAGGGTACTGAGTTTATAGGCAGAGAGACTCCAGTTGATCTCTGAACAGTCCTCGTGAGTCTCTAGATACATTATTTTTGCACACCCTGCTTAGCTTTCTCCAGAGAGAAACCATAGACATTGGCTCTCTAAAGCATACTTGATGTAGGTTATTTTCCATTTACTTTAATCATATTCTCAACCCATTTAACAAACAGACAAATGTGTAATGCTTGGGGCAGACCCAGTTCGCCTGTGGGAGAAATAGTTATTTTAAATAAAAACAGTCTGATTTTTCTGGAGGTGATGAAGACCCGCAATTCTGATTGACTAGTTCACCAATAGATAAAAATCAAAATATCATCAAACTTATCTATTTACAAATTGTCCAGGAGCAGATTGTGAAATTGTCAGGTTTGTCATGTAAAGTTATTCACTAATTTCTTCAGGGAATAATTAGATCATTAGACAAATATGCCATAGGCAATCTGTGTGGGAACTTGTGTAATTAACCAATCCAAAATGAGTGATAAATTGTATATCGGTAATTTTCACACTTAGCAATTTAAGACCTGTTAAGTAGTTTTGTCATCAAGTTAAGGAACAGAAACAATACATTATGACTTATATAACTAATTAGCATTCCCGATTTTACAAACACAAACAATTTGGAATTTACCTTGGGCGACAGTTTGCTCATGTGATGTAGGAGAATATTCATGAGCACAGAACTTTGCACTCACTTTTTGCAAATGCTTGAACGTTAAAGA